CAGCAGTCTCAAAAGGAACAGACACCAGCTGCAGGTTGGAACATTTTATTATGAATTTAATGATTGAAATGTTAATTGATGTTATTATTAGCTTGACAGTTATGCAGACATCCAGATATATTGCATAATAACGTGTAAAACAAACTTGTTCCTCTGCTCAAACAACCACAGGTGTGCTGCTGTATGTGCGTCTGACTCTGGTCATCATGATCATCGTACTGTCAACGGCTGTGCTGATAATCTGCAGGAAGAGGGCCAGTGAACCCAAAGGTGAGGTTACAGGAAACACACACACACACACACACACACACACACACACACACACACACACACACACACACACACACACAAATGGAACTGAACGTCTAAAACTCTTCACAGAAAAAAACACACACTTTGCCTGTTATGCCAGATGTGTAAGCAGTGGACCTAATCTTCTGAACCACATATTTTTCAGAACCTTCTGTAGAAGCTGTGTACGCTAATATCACAGAGGTGAGTTTGAGTAAATTTGGGATATTGAGCATTATTAATATTGAAACCACCTGATATTAACACAGACCTGTTCTCCTGCAGGCCAACCGGGTGTCTGAGGAGATCAGAGAGGAAGACGAAGAGAGCAGAACTCCTCCTTTAGAAATGTCTGCAGTTTAAACTTTCTACTGAAGCCAGTTCTCAGAAGCAAGTAAGAATAAATGTGGAAGGAATTTAGCTTTGGGTTCAGGACACAGTATCTTTACACTTCATCTGCTAAAATAACGTCTAACAACTTCACTGTACAGCAGAGAAAATCTTTTTGCAGTGGCAGAATACAGAACAGATTGTGGACATGTCCTCAAAAATATGGTTTTAAACAAACTTCACATCTTATGTTTGAGAGTAAGGTGATGCCCTCTTAAGAAACAGGAACCAGGCCAGTTTGGGAAATATAACAAAGCCACAAGAGAGAAGTACAGATATGTAAACTCGAGTAAACTCAAAAAGAGTGCTGCATCAAACATGTTGTTTGATAAATTACATCATCCCGGCAGCACTCTAGCATGCCAGTCGCAGTCAGTGGTTGATACTGATGGCAATATTTTAGATTATAAAAATTCTGATTACTGTATATCTGCTGATATTTATTTTAAACATTAACACATAATATAAACAAACAGTTTTTAGTACAATACTATCAATTTTGTAGACAAAAGACATTTGTTTCTATGTTACTACAAACATTTTTGGATGTTCTTGGATTGCATTTAACAAAATAAAAGACTCAAAAAGTTTGTTTATTTCTAATGTAAAATGCTCAATACATATCTTAGCTTAGAGCTTGGTTTTGCTTTATTAGTGTACAGAACACAAAACGCTGCTGGTGTCAAAAACAAAGAAAAAAATGACATTGTTGTTGGTTATTATTTTATAATAACTAGTATGCACATGATAGAAAAATAGCATCTTTCAGGACTTTGAGGCTCTGTAGATTATGTGAATATGGAGACAAAAAATCTACAATTAATGTACAAAATATAATACAACTTTTGAAAAAAATCATTAAATAAGTCATAGTGTAACATGTTGAAAAACGTCATAAAAGTCATTTTATAGCATGTTGAAAAAAGTCATTAAATAAGTCATAGTATAGTATATCGAAAAATGTCATATTATAGCATGTTGAAAAAAGTCAGTTATAGTATGTCGAAAAAAGTTATGAATCAAAGTCATAGTCTAGCATATTGAAAAAAATCGTTAAATAAATCAAAGTGTAATATGTTGAAAAAGTCATAAAAAGTCATGGTATAGTATGTTGAAAAAGGTCATGAACAAAGTCAACGCCGACAAATGTCATCAAAAAGTAATTTTATAGTATTTCAATCAGGAGACTTCATTAGAATTTAACAATAATTTATTATACATGCATAAAATTTGTATTGTGCAAAGTCTTTGGCGATTGGACTCGACCGAGGGGTAGGGATGCTGAGATCAGATAAGGCCTAATCCCCTCTGGAGTCCAGACACTGGTGGTGATGGTGAAGCGAGTTGCTGCAATCCACTGCAGCATGTTGCTGACTGGAGGTGACTGTGGTGGTGGAGGGTCGCATCTGCCTTGAGCTGAATTGACAACTGACAGCAGCAGAGAGGAGAACACCTTTGAAAGTTTGACAGCAACGATGTGATTGGCTTAAGGGAACTGTGCAGAATCTGGTTGGTTACTTTAAAGTGAACGCCCCCAATCAGCTGATAGAGGGAGAGACAGAGATTATGAATGAAAAGGTGTGTAAAGAGAGTCTTCCTGACTGAACTTGTGCTTAACCTTCATGTCGAAAATAGTCATTAAATAAGTCAGTGTAACATGTAGAAAAAAGTAAAAAGAAATTCACAGTATAGTATGTGAAAAAAAGAAAAACAAATGTAAACCATGCCATAAGAATGTTCAGTATGCCAAAAAAGTCTTAGTTGTATTTTGAAAAACGTAAAAAAAAAGTCATAGTATAATGTATCAATAAAAGTCATAATATAGTATGTCGATAACGTTGTTTACTCTGTTCTTCGGGTAGAAGCGTGCTTTGACTGCAACCACGCCGAAGACGCTTCAGCTCATCTGTACTTTTACTTTACATCTGTAGCTTCAACACCGTGCATTTGTAAGGTAAAAGTAGGAGCCAAATGGTGTTTTGGTTATCATTTGGGGTTAACGCGGTCTCATCTACGACTTTACTGTCAACAGGTTTCATCAAGTACGACTACCAGCGGATGTCTAACTGTAAAGACATTTCTTTAGACAGTTTGTTTGAAGTGAAAGAAAATAACTTTGATAAAAATAATGAATTGGAACAGAACAAGCAATTTACATTTTTTTTTAATGAAAATAAACTTGACATAACAGTTTAAACAGTACATGGTCTTTATCTTTTATTAAATATTTTTATAAATATTTTCATCCACTAATATCCTTCAGTTTTGTGTTGCACACACGTTACAAAATATATGAATTGCTCTTACAAGTTAATGTCCCTAACCTCTGTTGCTTTCATCTGCATCAGTACATGTGGCAACAGCTGAACCAAAATCATAAATAATATTTCCACAGAATAACTTCATGCGACGCCACGAAGGCAATGCTGCCAAACTGCTGCGTGGCTTGTCCATATTGTATGTATAAAACATACAAAAGACGAATTCATTGCACTTAAAATGTAAGAACAATAATCATAAATGGAAGACAAACACTTGGTAAATATTTCCCTTTACAGCCTTATAGTGCTCAAAGAATAGAAATAATAACTGATACAAAACAATAAAATAAACACGTGAGGTTAAAATAAAAGGTGTGGCACATTAAAGGTAAACACTGAGGAGGAGGAGGATGAAGGTCAGCTGACAGACTGATGGCTGCATAGAATCAATATCACAAATCTCAGAAGACAACTTTGGACGATTGTGTGCCGTCGTTCAAGCTTATATTTAACATATAGCTGTTTAGTAATAGTGCTTCTTTAAACATCTTATTTCACCAACTTTAACAGAAGAATCCCAGCTGTTTGTTGCCAAAATGTGCTTTTTTTCCTTGATGGATTTTTACAAAGATAACAGTTTAAATACATGACTCTACCATTACAGTGCAAACTATGAAGCATGGAGTCGTCTTCACCGCTTAAAACAGCAGGATACAAAACTGCAACAGGAACATGTCTTCATGTTTCTCCAAGCTTTAGCTCCTTAACTTCAACTTATATTTCTGCTGACCAATGACAAATAAAAACATTTTGCATCAAATTGTTTTTCTCATCTTTCAGGCAGCCACTGCTTTCATTTACCGGCAGAGTACAACAATCAAATTGCTCTTGTGATGACTGAACGGGGGGGGCGGGGGGGCGGGGGGTGAAGTGTAAGT